CCCCGCCGGCCCTGCCGCACTTAGCCGCAGTGCTTTCATTGCAGATCTCGATAGCCCCCGATCACCAGCACCCCCCGCCCGAGACCACTTCGCCGTACGTACCCCCCCCCGGCGGCCGGCAAGAACGTGCTTGCACGCCGCGAGACTTCCACGAGGGGGAAAAAAAAAACACCATCACCAAAAAACACGACCCCCGAAAAATCTAACAATCTATTGTGCAGTCACGGCCGCGCGTCCTTCTGCCGCGTTCCATCTCCCTCGTTGCTGCTGCTGCTCTCAATCCAGGCACCAGCACCGGGTGAGGAGGACAGAGGCCCAGGGGTCGCCAGCATCCTCAGGAGGAGGCCGCCAGCCGGTTCACCAGCCGAGTGATCTCCTCGAACAGGGTCCAGGTGAGGGCCGTTTGCAGGCTCTTTCGAGCCAAGCGCGGGGCCAGCCCGGAGAATGCCGTCCGACAGATGGCGTACGCCTGCGCCGCCGGCCCGGACACCGAGCCGGGCAGGCCCAGCCGCCCGGCCGCTGCGCGCCCCACCTCCAGGAACCCCATGTCCGGCGCCGTGGCCAACGATAGCAGCGCGCGCAGGGAGTTGGGATAGGCCCCCGGGGCCAGCTGCGCGCGCGTCTTCACCACGTCAAAGGGGTGTGTCAAGGCCGTGGCCAGCGCACCGGCTGCCACGCCGCACGCGAAGTTCCGCACCGGTGCTGGGATATCCACTGCATCCCAAGCAGACAAGGAGAGAGAGGGAGAGGGAGGGGAGGGGGGAAGAGGGCCAGGGCGATTAGCACCATTGGCCGGACAGACCCCGAGGCCCGAGAAGCGAGTGTGATCCGGCGTACCATCGCGCGCGGCAAGCGCATGCTGGCTGGCCCCCTGCAGGGAGCGGTACGTCGAGTAGTACAGGGCACTGTATGGGGCATCGCGTGCAACCGTGGCCCCGAGTCCACGCAGCCACCCGCGCGGGCCCTCGGAGGCCAGCAATGCCCGCATCGCCTCCCCGAGCGACCGATATGCATAGTAGTTGCTCTGACCCGCCATGGAGTGAGTGAGGAGGACCAAGAAGGCGGATTGAGGGGGGCGATGAGAGAAGGAGAGGTGCAAGGCAAAGGGGGGGGGGCGAAGCAGGACAGGATCACGGGCGGGAAGGTGGGCCGGCGGGGAACCCGCGCCCGACAGCACCCGGGCATACCTCGAAACGCGCTTTCACCACGGACACCGGATTCAGGAGCCCGGCGATGGTGGATCGCGCCGCAAATGCCAAAGCCAGGTCAAGCTCCTGCTGAGAACTCCGGAGAAGCACATCCGAGAGGGCCCCCTCCGGCAGGAAGACACTCAGTGCCCCGGGTCCCACGGGCCGCGTGCAGAGGACACACGCGGCGCCTTGCTGGGTGGCTGGCCAGCTGCGCCGTGATCTGGCCAGGCCCCCGGTCGCCGGGGCGTCGGCTGCCAGGCATGCACTGCACGCCGGCTGCAGTGCCCCGGCCGCCAGGGCGTCCAGCCGGCTGCGGCCCAATCGCAGAGCCCCGAAGTAGAGCGCCGACCCGGGGACCGTGCGCAACACCGTGGCCAGCGAGCCGCGCCAGAACCCGGCCGGCCCGTGCGTTCGCAGGATCTCCCTCGACACCTGGGAGATGCTGCTCGGCGGCCGGGGCCCGCTGGCTGCCATGGCCGAAGCACCGGCCGGCGCATTGCCCGGCCGGGGCGACAGCGCCCCGGGGACCGGCTGCTGCAGGCGGGTTTTCAGCAAGTCCAGAGGCTGGAAGAGCAGGCATGAGACCAGCGACGCGGCGCCGCCGGACACCAGCGCCGCCAGGGTTTGCCGGGCATGAGATCCGGTGTCTGTGGCCGGGCCGCTCGGGGCGACACTCATGGATGTGCGCCGGGGAAGGGCAACACGGCGGCGGCGGCGGCGGCGGCGGCGGCGGCGGCGGCGGCGGCGGTGGAGGAGGGAAGGGAGGTTCGAGGGAGAGGGGCGAAAAAAAAAAAGGCAGGAGAGGGCAGTGACGGAAGTGGTGGCGGCCGAGCAGCGGCCGAGGGGCTTTGTCTGGCAGAGACCCGCGCCCCGGGCCCGCGAGGGTGCGGCGATCTGGCTGCCGAAATGGGACCTACGCCTGGGGCCTGCCCGGCACATGTTGGGCGGCAGAATCAACGCGAATCGTTGGCAGCCCGCGCCGGAGCCCGTGCCGGATGCGCCGGGCCCGGGTGTGCCGGGGGCCGTGCGCGCGCCTTGCCGGCCATGGTTCAAGTCCGGGGCAGGGAACCGCGGGGACGGGAGAACCGGGCGGGGGGG